ATGCTGTTGGTTCTGTTATGTATTTAATGATTTGTACTAGACCCAATCTTGCATTTGGTAGTAGCATATTGAGTATGTTTATGAGTAACCCATGGGAAGAACATTGGAACGCTTTAAAATTGTTATTGAGATATCTTAAATGCACACATAACTTGGGTTTAATGTTTAAATCAAGTAAAAATAGTGTAACCTTAAAGGGATATACTGATTCTGATTTTTCTTGAGATAAAAACAATAGGAGATCAACTTCTTCTTACTTTCATACCTTATGTGGTACTGTTGTTAGTTGGAAATTTCAACTTCAAAGAGTAGTTGCTTTATCTTCCACTAAAGCAGAATATATTGTTGCCACGATGCAGTGAAAGAGGGAATTTGGTCAAATGGTTTAATGTCTGAACTGGGTTTTACTGATAGTGATTTTGTGTTACTATCTGATAACCAAAGTGCTAAGCAAAGATCCTATGTTTCATGATAGAACTAAACATATTGATATAAAATATCATTTTATAAGATATGTCATTTCTAAAGGGATTCTTAAAATTGGAAAAGTCTCAACTCAACATAATCCATCTGATATGGGTACTAAAGTAATTCCTTTGAATAAGTTTTTAAATTGTTTGAAATTGTTATCTGTTGAATCTTTATTTTAGAGCAAATGAAAATTGCTTGATATTATGATCTGAACTACACTATAACCCAAATTCTGGTAGCAAAGTGGAGATTGTGGAAATTGAACCAGGTCCAATTGCGTTGCTCCCATAATTTGTGAAAAACAAACAATAGCTAAATGCGATTTTGTTAAGTTTACACTTTCAATCAGATTGCGATATGAGGACAAATCTTGGCTGTTGGTTTGAATTCTAGAGAGTTCTATTATTATTGTTATTCTCGACTTTTGGTTTTAGGGTTTTCATTTTCTCCGTTCTCTGTGTGAGTGTTGTTTTTGAGGGTTTTTCTATGTTCTGATCTCTCTTTAATTCCTTTTCAAATTCTTGATTTGAGAAGGCAATCTATAATATTGTAGCCTCCTTTGTGATGATATTCTGAGTGAATATCCATTAGGAAGTATTTGTGCTTCTAGCTTGTTGTTTCTGAGGTTCTAAGGCGATCATTTGTGGTTCGAGTAGATCGATTGCTGTATTTGTGAGAGATAAGTGTTCTGTATCTTTTCTTCGTGATTGGTTGAACATTATTGTAATCTTTGTTGCCATTTTGGGCATTATAGTTGAATTGAGCATAATCTAACTTTTGGATGTTCAACGGGAAATGTAGGTGTTGGATGTGGTCACCGAACCTCTGGGGTTTAGCACGAAACATATCGATTGTGTTTTTTTAATTTTCTGCACTTTATTTTTAGAGAATGTTATGATATTCTTGTTTCTTGATCTAATATCGTGTATTCCAGGCTTAACACTTTTGTCTATAGAGGAAGAATGAGTGAGCCAAGTGTTAAGCTTAGTAATAATTAATAGTGACTAATCAAAACAATGTAGCAAATAAGCTTTTGAGACAGATTTTGAAGGATAACACTTATTTAGGAGAAATTTATTCCCATAATTAAATAGCCATAAACCATAGTTATTAGACCTGATTCGGCCATTGACTCGGTCAAAGTACTGAGTCAACGGGTTACTGGTCGGACATGTGAATCGATGGTCGGATTGGTGGGTCATTACTTAAAAATATCTAAAGAATTTTAAAGTATAATTTATTTATTTATTTTTGTTGCTTGAGACAATTTAATTTTTCAAGTTATTTGTTACTAATTATTTTTATGCATTTAAATTAATATTTTTTGAACT